AACGTTGTTGAAGGAGCTTTGCCAACCAAGCATCAATAAGGCTCTATACAATGTTTGGCTTAAAGCAAACTACAAGAGTTTGGCATTGACATTGACATGACAGAAGAAATGATCATTTGTCATTCTCTCGACATGGTCTTTGCAAAAAGACTATCTGAAATTAGTCTCTCACTCTCATTGCTAATGAGATATAACATAATAAACAAACTATAACATAATATTAACTTCTCACGTCAATAATAACCATGCTAGTTAATAATATGTAACTAATTAAAAGATAAATATTGTTTCTCACTAACAATTAACATTATTATAGTAATGAGATATATCATAATAAACATTCTTTCCGTTATTCAAATATATGCTCACTTTTCTTTTTGGGTTGTCATAAAAAAATTATTATACTTTTGTACTTTTTTTACTATAAAAAGAAAAAGTAAAAATTATTACTCACTTTTATTAAAATCCGTATCCGATCAAATGAACACACATTTGTATGACAGAGGGAGTAATAACTATGTTTACCTCATTGTGGAAAAATCATACTGCAAACCAAATGATAACCGATTTGTATTCCTTCATTGGTCTGTAAATAAATATCATCAATCCACATTACTTACATCCCAAATGTATTTAAAAGTTCATCAGAATCTATCAGGAATACGTAACAACACATTTCAAGTATATAGTAGTCCCCTAAAATTCTATTACTTAAGAACTAGACCTAAAAAATGCAATTCGGGGTACTTAACAACACTACTTTTGTCAACCCACAAACATGATTAATTACCGAACAATCAAATAAAAACTCAAATATGCAACTTCGGGTAACTAAATAAAATGTACATCTACAAAATTAACAAAAATTACAAATTAAACAAATAAAATCACCCAAAATCGGTGCCAAAATAAAACATTCAACCCGGTTCACATGGGAAAACATACGGACGATTTCAAACCCATTTAACAAACACAACTACACCGATCACCCAGGGCTCGTCAACACTGAACCGATGCATAAAAACACGAGACAAAAGCTTACACCCCAAAAAATCGAACAAACTATGATATAAAATACTATATCAACAAAATCAAAAACCGAAAAAGGTCCGACCAGGCATTTTACTTCTTCGAGCTTGTCGTGAGGGATGGGAGCGAGTCAGCTATTTTTTCACTTTTTTTGCACTGATTGGTCGCTACTTGATCGCTGGGGGTTGAAGAGTGCAAAAGACTGAATGTTCATATGACTGCAACAAGCAAAGACTTTACCAAGATTTGTTACCTAAGGTCGGGGCCAAGGAAAAATTGAAAAATAAAATTTGAGTGAAGATATGGTGAAAGGCTCGAATGTGGGAGGTGCGGAGTGAGGCTACTAATTCACATTAGTTGCAGCAACTATTGAAGAGGATGAGCCATATGGAAAAGACAATATTATTTCTCTTAGGATAATTCCGAATCATGTGTCCCCTGCGATGATAGTAGTGACACTCAATGTTAGGGCAACGAGTGTAACAATGATCAATATTCAAGCAGCGATGACACTGTCAGATGGTGGTGGTCGGGCATCCCTGCAAGCTGAATCAAAGGTGGCAAAATCCCTACGAGGATAAATAGAGGAGGAAGAAACCAGGGCAATAATCAAGAATAGGAGCTTTGAACATCTTCAGTCGAATGTCCTCAACAATAATCTTCTTCATGACTGTCTTCAATTATGGTAAAGGATGGTGATGGAGAAAGAAAGCTACAAACAATTAATTTAACTTTGGAAACAAACAATTCCTACTAAATATCAAATTCTAAAATAAATAAAATCATGCCATAAACTCAATTTTTACCTCAATTCAAAAGACAAAAATATTGGTGTCCAATAGAAATTGATACAAATTATTCTCAACCAAAAAACATCTGTTTCATGGTCAATTTATTTTTCGTAAATGATGCCACAAATACTATAGTTCATAGAAAGTTACATCAATGTAATATCTCTAAATTTGAATCTCAATTTATTCATACAAACAAAATAAGTATGTTCATTCACTTATTGAACCTTTTATCATCCAAATAAACATATTTGTTATTTTTAAAATACTAAGTCGCCTTTAAACATAATTAGAAAGATTAAGAGCAAATTTTTTTGGGGGGCAAACTTCCACCTTGGTACTTATTGTTTAAAATATAAGTTTCTACGAAAAGGACTAATACGAAAGTATACAATTTCCTTTTACTGAAATTGGCGTTCTTATCTTGTTGTTGCTGCCGGAGGATAATAACAACTCAACGAAATGAAATGGGTGAAGTTGGTTCATCATTTTCCCGCCTAAATTTATAGACGACTTACAATTTTGTCGAGTCTCAACATATCTTCTCTTTAATGGCTTCTAAGTATTAATCAATTTCAACCGTGACGTTTGTATCAATTTGAGATGTTTAGGATGCGTTTGACAATTAATTGGTAGTTTTTAGTTGTTAGCTGATTCAATTAGTTGGTTTGACTAGCTGATTCAATTAGCGGTTTATATTAAAATGTTTGGTAAAACAACTGTTTAACATTAGTTGTTTATCTATAAAATGACAATTAATGATATTTATATGGTATGTTTTAAAATATTTATTTTATTCATTTTGGTTTAAAACTTTTTAATTTTTTTTTATTAATTATTGAAAATTATAAAAATATTATAAAATATTTATTTTTATTTTTTAGATTTAAGAAAATATTTTTTATTAAAAAATAATAATAATTTTTTATTAAAATTGTATAATATATAAGTGAATAAATCTTTAGTATATATTTTTATTATGTTAATTATTGTTTAATAATTTATTCCATTTTATTTATTTTTAATGTAAATTTTATATGATAAAAATACATATAAATAAATTAATAATATTTGTCTTTTCTATTTAATTTAATTTTGATAAATTTATATATTTTACAAATAAAATAATTTATATGCAATAATTAATAATAGTAATTATTTTACATTTATACAAATAAAATTATAATTTAGTAAATAAAATATATTAAAATTAATTAATAAATACTGCAATAAAAATATACTTATTATATGTGTATGAAATAAATAAATTATTTTTAGGGTAAATAAAGAATAAGTATAATTAAAGTGAAAAAGTTGTTTCAAAACACTTGATAGATTAGCTTTTTGGGTCCAAAATATTTTTTTGAAAAAACTAATTTACCAAACACGTAAATTAGTTTTTTGAGTGATCAATTACCTAAAAACTGTTTAATAGACTAAAAGCTTTAAAAAATCTCTTTCCCAAACACCTCTTAGTTTGATACGTTGACTTCAACAACCACTAATCTAGTTGCAAAATTTCTAGAAGTAAAAAAAAAAAAACATTATCCATATAATATAATAACTATATTAGGACAATTATGTAAAACAAATTAAAGTTGTTCTAAATAAATAATTTGGGTGGATGATTTGTGATATATACCACGGTGAACTTGAATGACCACTTACCATCATCATGTAATTTGAAAATTATAGTATAAATAAATTTTAGAAATAATTTGGATGAATGATTTGTGATATATACCACAGTGAATTTCAATGACTACTTACCATCATCAAATAATTTGAAAATTATAGTATAAATCAATTTTAGAGCTTAAGACTATATTCAATCTACTATGTAAAAATAGCAAAATTGTTATTTTTGCAAAACATGTTAAGAGGGGTGGGACATAATTCCCCTTGGTAGGATTCAACATACCCTCTCAATTGAGTGAGTGGTTTTTCCTATTACTATTATTTTTTGTTTTAATTAATTAATTAATTATTTAAATATATGCATATATTATATTTTTCTATTGTTTTTTTTTTAACTATTTTTTACTACTTCCGTCCCATATATCGTGTCTGTTACACTGTAGACACGGTATTTTAGGAAGAGTGTAATTAGTAGATAATTAAGAATGCATTAGTGAAAATAATTATTGTATAATATAAATAATTATAAATTAAGATTAAGATATCTAATTAGTTTAATTAAAATTTTTAAAAAAAATTAAAAAGTTTAAAATAAGATTAAAGTGTGTAATCATTTACCAAAAAAAAAAGTGACATGATATGTGGGACGGATAAAAATGACAACATGGACATGGTATGTTGGACGGAGAGAGTATTATTTATTAAAGAATTTATTTTTGTATTAATATTTTAATTTTATAATTAATATTTATATCAAATACTTGATGTTATTTTGTAAATTTGAAAAATTTTATAAAATAATATATAGAATAGAATATAAAGAAGATTATTTGATTTTGTAGAAATAAAAAGTATGCTTACACATAAATTACTTAAAAAAACCCTAGAAAATAAAAAAATATATTGTATACCATGTAAAAATGAACTTGTGGGTTGAAGATGATCTAAATCAAGTTTCTGTACTTATATGGTCGAGTTCTTGATCTACCTTCTGTACATTTTTTTCTTGTTCCGCACAAATCAAAAGTGATACTACAAAATTTTGAAAGTAATAACTAAATTTTGAAATGACTTATTGAACACATGATTTTATTCTTCAAAATAGACTGATTTTTTTTTAAAAATTTTTTTTTGAAGTGATGAAATCTTGCTCTTGATGTCTGAAAAAAGAAAATAAAAGGAAAGAAAGAAAAATAAAGTTATTTTCAATTCAAAATTAACTTACGAATGAAATGAATAAAAAGAATAAATAAAAATTGAACAATAAATGAATAGTGAAAAATAAATTGATTTTAAAAATTAATTAATTTTAAATTCAAAATAAAACACAAAAATTTAATTCCAATTATTCAATATTTGAATTACTATTAAAATAACATTTTAAAATTAAAATTCCAAAACAATACATCCTTATTTGTACTATAATCCCCTCTCTTTTCTCTATATTTTCGTAACCCGCAATGTCATTTCCCGTTTTATATATACGGAAAAGCAAAAAATGAAAACAAGGAGATTATTCTCACGCTACGTCGTCGTTTCACTCATTTCTATTCCGTACGATTTCAACAGCAAAAAGTGGCTGTCCTCCTTTTTTTTCTTTATGCAGTCTCTCCAAGAGTTGAGCTGTGCGGGGATAATCATAGATCTGTCATCCCCAAGTAGGATCGGTTTTTCATCAATCATACTCTACTTCGCCTATCAGGTGAGATTTCGATTTGTTACTCAGTTGAATTGAGCTTTTGATTCTAGAAAGGCGGTCAAATAGCGTGCTATTCTTCAAGTTTGTGGTGCTCAAGTCTTGTCTTTTGGTTGCTATAAAGGCAAGTCAGCTTTGGTGACTTGTTTACCAGATCTGATTCCGTCCAAGTTCTTGATCTCTCTGATTTCTTTTTTCGCGGTATGTGTTTTGGTGAGACCTGTCGTTGGGCCTGATCGTTCGTTTGATCGGCGCAGTGAATTGTGAAGAGAAAGTTGTGAAGTGATGGCGAATCGGATGAAGGAGGATGAAAAGAATGAGAGAGTTATACGGAATCTTCTTAAGCTTCCAGAGAATCGACGGTGTATTAACTGCAACAGTTTGGTAAGTATCTGATTTTACTTGTGTTCGAGGATCGTCTCCGTTTGATGCCATGCCCTTTCACTTTTCATATCTCGAATCATATCTGAATGCCACGGTCACTTTAGGGCAACATAACCTTTATGAATTGTCTTCATTTTGATGTTCTACTGGTTTGCCGAAATCTGAGATTATTTGTTTCGAAAAATTCTACGTGTTCCTTGAGTCGCCCGAGGTTTTGATCATAGCTCCCAAGTACGGGGTTACTTTTGAGTTACCTTCTGAAGGAAAGCAACGCATGGTGCATTGTTAGGCTGGGCTGATTTTGATTTGCATGATGATTTGTGTCTGCTGCTCCTTTTGGGAATTTCAACATCTGTCTGAATGGTTGCAATCAAGATCAGTTTTGAATCTTTATATCAGCAAGCCCGATGAATCTCAGGATTTAAATCACTCCATGAACCTGCTTGTGTGATTTACTATGTCTTGTTTAGTATGTTTCATATATTATGTTACTTATTTTCTTTAATCCTACTACATGTACTTGAGCTGATACTGTCTCACTTTAGACTTGACCTCACATACTGTACTGCTCGAAATTTACATTAGGAAGCTAGCGAGCATTCACCATTCAAAAATTAAAATATATTCTTGATAGTGTAATTGAAAAGTATCCCATAAGCTGTTTAATTAAAACAAAATTAAAGAAAATTGTATGGTATTGTTGATACTTTATATTCCTTGAAATGACATATTTTTTGTATTATAGAAGAACCTTGATTTTAAATGTATGTTTCTTGAAAAAGTGTTACAAAAAGATTTTACTTTGGTGATGTACTATGCTGATTAATTTCGCTTAAACTGTCAAAGGACTGGAATAAAGCACAGTGATTTCTCATAGTGACATCGATCCTTGAAAACTAGCAATTTTCCCCGCTATGATAAACCCAGACGCTCTGAAACTAGTAGAGCATGAGATTATTGGAATCAAGAGTCAGCCTCTTAATGAAGAACCGTGACTTTCCAGCTTTGTGTGCATTGTGTAGCATGGAGCTTGATATGATCGGACATTTGATTATCCAGTTAATATGCTTCAATAATTATGATGAGAATTATATCTTAATTTACTATGTATCCATGTGGTTGAATATTATACTTTGTCTTGGGAAGAAACTATACATAAATATAATAAAATAAGATAATTTGAAATATAAGATGAGATACAAGTGCTGCCTTCTCTGTATCTTCTCATTAATGGTAATGAATGGATGCTCTTTTTGGTTGATGTTGAGAAATTTATGTGTTACTTTTAAGAGGGGTCATATTTCAGTTGTTTGGATTGCTCTTTAGAATATAGATATATCATTTAAACTCTTAGCTTTTTATCTCTAATGGAGATAGGACAAACAACCGTATTGAGACTTTAACCATAGTTGTCTATGGCATGTGTGGTTGCATGCCATAATGTCAATATAGCACCATAAAGTGTGCGCCAGATGTAATTTTATTTTGCGGTGCTCGTCGTCAAGTAAGCAGAATTAGGAAATTTGTCTGGAGCACCTGCGACACCATTATTTAGATAATGCTCTTTCACTTCTTTTCTTTACCTTATGGACAAATCTCTCTCTCTCTCCCCTTTCCCCAGCACCCAACTCCCCAAAAAACAAAAAAAAAGTTTTTATTATGATCTTGATTTTAATGTTGTAGTGATCTGTTACCTATTTCTTTTTGGAAATATATTAGTTGAAAATGATAATGTTAACTATCCCACCCAAAAAGAACTCGGAGCCTAAAGAGAATCAAGTTCAGTCTACAAGAAGCTGATCGACCAGACGGAGAAACTTCCATTCCAACTGCTGAATTGTGTAATCCTTGAAAATATTTTACTTTTTTAAATTTGCAAATAGTGAGGATATGCTTATTCATTGCCTTGAGATGGAACTTTGGTATGGCCCGCATTTGCCTGGGAGCTGTGCACAATGAACAATGACTGTTCAAATCCGTGCTGTTAGTTCAACTGCTGTTTGATTTCTAGATGTGATTGGTACTGTGGGCCTTAAGTAATTTTGCCTATTAGTGGTCCCCAATAACATGATAATAATTGGCTGTAGACTGTTTTGAGTTGGCTACTTACTCAGAGGTGTTAGTTTTTGGGATGCCTATAAGATGAGATTGCTGAAGATGGTGAAAGAGAGCACTGGGTTTGTTTCTCAAGAAGCTTTCATATTTTTTAGCCTGCCATAGTTAAGTAACTTGATTATATGGATAAAACATGTCATAATAGATTGGAAAGTCTGGGCAGTGAAGCGCCACACAATGTTTGGTGGGATAAGCTATCAGTCTCAGCTCATGTATGCTTAAAACTCATGATTGTGGCGAACTAATATGGTTTTTATTATATATTATCTCCACATGGTGCTGTGCTGAGCAGTCAACGCTACCCCCACCCCATTACCATGAGCTTGGTGGTACATATACATGTGAAGCAATGCTTGAAAATGAGGTCTGGGTACTTGGGAGTCAGTGAATGACAGTGTAATTAAATGATCCGTGAGAATGTTCAGCTACAGCTTATTGAATGAGTTTCTTGTAAGACAATGGATCACAATCTTAATGTAGTTCAGGTATATATAGAAATTAGGAAACTTAGTACTTGAAGTGTCTGTAGAACAGAAAATTGTTCTTTAATTTTGCACCAAACAAGTTAATAATATACGATTTCAACATAAGCTGTTATATGTTCTAGATTGCTCTTTTAAAGCTTATTAGTATATCTTTTAAATTTCTAATTGATTGGGATGTTTATTGTTGCCTTTGTTCCATTAGGGACCTCAATACGTTTGCACGAATTTCTCGACTTTTGTCTGCACAACCTGTGGTGGAATACAGTAAGTAATGATTAGTTCGAGTTTTTTGTCTTTTGTTTTCTAACAATCTTCCAGAAGGATTCTCAAATGCTGTAGCTTTGTAATTTCCCTTTACATGGAATGTTCTCTTTTTGTGGCAGTCGTGAGTTCACACACAGAGTTAAGTCTGTATCTATGGCTAAATTTACTCCACAAGAAGTCAGCGCCCTTCAGGGAGGCGGGAATGCGGTATGTCTCATTTATTTGATTTGAACACTGTTTTCAAATTTCTCGTCCATACAAGCATCTTTTAATAAAGATACTCATCTATACATTGTTTCCTATTGATAAGAGTGCCCGAGAAATTTATCTAAAGGAATGGGATCCTCAACGTAATTCTCTACCTGATGGAAGGTATGTGAAAATTTGTCATTTTACCTTATTATTTTTTCTCAATGTTATGTTTTTCATTTATTTTGTAATGCATATACTCTTGCGTTCTCACATGTGCATGTTATGTATTTGCTCTCTCAGCAATGTTGAGAGACTACGTGACTTCATCAGGCATGTCTATGTGGATAGACGATATACTGGGGAGAGGAACATGGAAAAACCATTAAAGATGAAGATGGTATGCATGGGGTTCCTTTTAATTAAACTTAATACAGTTTTAATAGAATACACTGGAGGAAAATATACAGTAAACTTATGACATTCAAAACAACTGTGCCTTTCTTGCAGAGCACTTTGGTTTATCTTAGTTTTTCACTTGCCTTTTGCAGGCTGAAACTGAAGATTTCAATAGCAATAGGAGGACAGACACCTACCAAGGGGGTTTACGAAGCCCTCATAATGATTCCTTTGAGCGTCGCCACAGTGATAGGCCCAGTCCTGGTGGAAGAAGTCCTGGATATGATGAAGAAAATCGTCAAAACAGTACTTACAGAAGTCCTAACCGTACTGAAGTTGTTAATGACTGGAGACGGGAGGACAGGTTTGGAAATGGGAGGCGATCAGAAGGCAGAAGTTCTGATGGTGGTTCGAAATTTGAAGGTGGATCTCCTGATAGTCAAAGCCCTCCAGTGGTTCGTCCTGTAAGAGATATCTTAGGAGAGAATGTATCTCCCCTTCGAGTGATTGAACCTCCAAAGCCTGCTGTTGGAGGCAAGTCAACTGATGGGTCCCACACACAAGTAAAATTTTTTTCTCTACTCTATTATGGATTTATTATTATTATTTTTTAAAAAACTTATATCATAATGTGCAGTCCAGTGAATTATAACTATTTTCATATTACTTAGAAGGCTAATAAAGTGATTGGTTTTATTTAATACTCCCTCCGTCCCAAATACCCTGCAACATTTCCAAAATAAAAAATAATTAATTATACTTAATCTCTACCTTACACTTTATTCCCTCACATCATCCAAATAAAAAAATAAAATATATATTTCTCTCTCCATCACATCACCTAATTTTTAAATAATCCTACTTAATACTCCCCACCTAAAAATCCGTGCCAAAAGGAAATGTTGCACCTTGTTTGGGATGGAGGGAGTATTTATTTTTATTCATATTATTTTGCATTTTTCTGAGCAAACCAAACTAGCCGGATTTGTAGGACGAAACGTGCAGAACATCGTTTTGTTGCTGTGTTGTTCCTTCCTGTTACAAGTGTTGTTGCATTATTATAACTTTCTTTTTTATGTCGCATTTTACTTTTAACTTTCTCAAGTTGGATAGGTATTGATACTATCTGTCTTTGTATAGCATATATAGAATTCCCTTTGCCTATTTTTTCTAGACTTAACTACTAATCTCTGAGGTACATGATTGTTTGCACATTCCTTTGCAGAGAACTGCATCCTCAAGTAGCATGGCATCATCTGATGTGAACCCTGCTGAGATCAAAGTTGAAGCTTCTTTTATTGATTTTGATTCAGTTCCAGAACCCCCGATAACAGCTCCTGTGAACAAGCAAGTGCCTGTTGCTACTTCATCTGTGCAACAGACGGCATCTAGTGGTAATGACTGGGCAAATTTTGATTCAGCGCCTCAGGTCAAAGCATATGCTGCAGCCTCGAACTCTGTGGAATCTGTACTTTCTGAGTTGTCAATTACAACGCACACTCCTGGCCATGCTGCCCTTGGAAGTAATTCTTCATCGTCAGGGGCTCCTCCTGGTGGTGCTGCAATGGTATCCTCTGGTCAACCTCCACAACAAATATTACATACTGAGGGATATACGCTGCAAAATACTAATGCTCCTACTACCACTGGACCGTGGTCTGCTTTGTCTCCTCAACAAGTTGTTACTCCAATTATTGGTGGATCCTTGACTAGCACGGTATGTATAAGAGTATCATCTCCTCTATTCAATGTTTCGTATCTATAGCAAGTAACGAATCTCTTACCTGAAATTATTAGGCATGGAATACGCATGCACCAAATGCCCACAGACCCCAAGTTGATACATCTTCTGTTGCAAAAGTGGGTCAAACTGAAAACACTTTTTCCATGGGAACCTCGATTGGAGTTTCAACAGAATCTTCCTCAGATGCAAAATCTGGTGGGAGGAAGGCACTTCCAGAGGATTTATTTACAATGAATTACCCATACCGTCAACCTGTTCCTGGCTGGTATTCTGGTTCTCCTTACGTTGCTTGGTATCCAATGCGTCAGGACATATCAATGGTATTTGAAAATACTTTAATCTTTTTCCTTCTTTTGTCTCCATGATTTTCTTTTGCATTAGCATGTTTTACAGTGAAAAAATATTTTTTTATTTTTTATTTTGACATAGCATTTTGTCACATAACTTGAATGTGATAAATATATGGAGTGGCTACCTAGGGCAATACTGAAAACATGGATAAATAAGCATCATAATTTGCTGACAATCATTGGAGTATGATGCCTGTTGTTGCTTCAAGCAAATAAATGTTAGTTTAATCCCTTTTACTGAATGCATAAGCACATCGACATTCACAAATTAAAGTAAAATATACTCCCTCTGTCATGGTTGAATTAAACTCTTTAATTAGTGACATGATATAAAAGATAATAATGTTTAATTAGTTAATAATAATGAGTTATAATATTATTTTATTATTTTTTATATAATTAATAATATTGGTAGTTTTAAAATAAATTTAACATATATAATTAAAAAAGATAAAATATGTATTTAAATATTTTAAAAATTATATCGCAATTAAAAAAATATATGCAATATGGATATCATTTTGCAAAGAATAAAATTTTCTATAATACAAGTAAATAAAAAAATATGATTATTTATTTATAATTAACATGAACTATTTTTTTTTTATAAGAAGTGAGTTTTAAATGTAGTAAAAAATAAAGGGCTTTTGAGTGATGTTATATGTTATGTAGTCAATTAAGTTGATTTATATTTGTTAAATATGTTTTGATTTAGTAAGTTATACCTAAACTAGAAAGACGTAAATTGGTATGGACAAACAAAAATAGAAAAAGTGCCAACTAAAATGGAACGGAGGGTGTACTAAATAATGAAATAGTACCTGCTGCAGCAGGGCAGGTAAAGGTGGTGAATTTGTGCCTCAATTTTAATAGCTTGTCCTTCACTTTTACTGGAATAGCTTTATCTGGTATCATCCCTTGGGTATAGTTTATTATTAGAAACTTAAATAGTTCTATTTTAGGGATGGGACTATGCATTTTTAACCTAGTTAGAAACTTCATTAATTTCCAAACAATAATTGTCTTCATTTTACAGCCTATACCTAGTTCCCAGCCAGTACCAAGATCCATGAACCCTTTTGATGTTGGGCATGCACCTTCTTCAGTCCAACAATCTGCGGTATGCTCTTTTCTCTAGGAGAATTTCATCACTCTTGATTGCGTTGTCTTTTCTTAATTTTTTGCTGGTTGTTTCCATCTAGTTAATTCTATTGCTCTTGCAGAAATGTTTTTTCCTTTATATATCACAGTGGAGTTATCTTTTCGTGATTCTTTATTGATGGGATGTTCAGAACTATTAGAAAAAACCTCTTTTTTGTTTGGCAATTTGGATTTACAGTACTGCAGCAAATCTGAGCATCATTATACGCAGTCTTTGGCTGGTTTCGTGTTAAATTGCCTTTTTTTGTACAATGCAGTTTCCTTTGATGGTACCGTTACAAGGCGTGATGCCAAGACCTGCAACCGCATCTGCTCAAATGCCATCATATCCAGCTGCAGTTCAACAGAGTATGAGATCATATTACTATAAGTTTTTGTTTGTTGGAATGTTGCTATGGTATAATATTATGACTTGTGTTTACGTCTAACCAGGTCCATTCATGGGACAAGAAATGGCCCACGGGGTAACTCCAAGGTAATAAATATATAGCCTTTAGATCAAGTCCAGTCTCACAATCTCAATATACTTGGGTACAATATTAATAAACAAAGGTAAAATTGCTCATAATTCTCGCGTGGTATTTACGTAAAATCTTTTTGTACTTTAAAAATTGTATGACACTCACTTTTACTTTAAAAATCGTTGAATGAAACTCCACCACTATGAAAATTCTCTTGTATGATGAGAGATAATTTCCTATCTGTATGTTTAACATGACGGGAGATTTCATGCAATATTTTTGAAAGTTTAAGGTAGTGCCATGCAATCTCCTTGTACTTTAAAAATTGTATGACACCCACTTATATTTTAAAAAACGTTGCATGGAACCCCACCACTATGAAAACACTCTTGTATGATGAAAGATGATTTTCTATCTGAATATTTTGCATGGCGGGGGGTTTCATGCAATATTATTGAAAATATAAGGGGGTGTCATTCAATTTTTTAAAGTAAAGTGGGAATTTACGCTGAGTTTCATGCAATCCTTTTTAAAGTATAAGGGGACGTTATGCAATTTTTAAAGTAAATAAAAAATTTACGCTGAGTTTTGAAACCACAAGAAAGTTATGGGTAATTTTGGCATCAACAAATAACTCAAACTCAATTGAAATTTTGGAACTTTTGTAGGCCACAAGGATCATATGGCTTCAGCATGGCTGATCAGTCGATGTTCACCCCTCAAAACCCAAATGCCCAACTAAGCGGATTCCATCCAGCCCCCTCCACTTCCAGCAGCTTCACTTCTGCCACCGGAAACCCGTTTGGCTAAAGCCAAGAAACCGAAGAGCATAAGCAACGAGCAAAGCACTTACCTGTTGCTTTTTTTTCTTCCTTTTATTTTGTAGATGATACCGTAATTGTTACTGCAGCACAGGAGAGTGGTAGAGAGTGGAGTCTGGTGCAATCAGAACCAGATGGGTGAAAATTCATTTTTACGGAGAAGCTGGCCGGCCGGAATGCGAAAGCGAATGATGAAGGTTTGTATGTTTGAGTTGATTGGGTTTCCAACTTTTATGTATCATATATATATCATAGTCATTAATATGCTTTTTTCTAGGCTTCTATTAATTGTGATGTTGGTGTAGTAGTAGTAGTGAGTGTTGTTTCTCCGGTCCAAGTTGATATAATATAGTTGATAAGGATATCAATCAATATTTTGCTAATTCTTTTTGTCCGCACTGCAAGTTTTGAATAAAATTTGGTAATGTGTTTGTTAAACTAAATTTACTACTATAAGTGCTTCCTTCTTACTTTCTTTCATTCCCTTGCGTGTTTGGTAATGGTAATGGTGATGGTAATTGGTTCCTCCTCTAACTGTAATTCAGCAGTCAGTTAGTTGCCTGAGACACATTTGAGAGAGAGAGAGAGAGAGATTCAAATTATTATACTCCCTCCGCCCCGTTGGAAGGGTGACGTTTGATTTTTGCACGTAGATTTTTGAATAATAGTATTATATTGGATTGCAGTAAAAAAGATAAAAATATCCCTATTAGTATGGTGTAATATAAAAGTAATGACATTTATGTAATATTTTGTAAGTTGAAAGGGTATTTATTATGTTAAGTAGATAGTACAATTACTAAATTTGGAAATGGTAACCTTGTTTTGGGACGGACGAAAATGGAAAATAGTAACCTTTTAATGGGACGGAGGGAGTAATAATAATTTGTTTTGTCTTATCTTGTTTACTTTAGTTCATATTATGGGGTGGCCGGTAATTAACTGATAACTATTATTTGATTTGATCAGCTTTGATCAGCTGCTGAATATTTTAGGTGTTCGTGCTAAGGTTTTGGTAAAATAGTAGTTTCGTATTAACTGTTTATACGTAAAATGATAATTAAGGGTATCATATTTTTTTTATTTTAAAAATATTTAGTTGAATTTTTTTTTTCGTTGGGTAGATTTTTTTAGGATTTTATTATCAATTATTAAAAAATTAGGACATATTTATTAAAATATTTATTTTTATTAATTTTCAAATGTTTTGTAAAATATTGATGTAATTTTATTGTAGAATATTTTTTTCCATTATAAACAGTATAGATATAAAAGAATAAAAATCGTTAGTATATGTATTTTTATTTGATTATTTTTTATCTAATAAAAATATATTCATTAAACTTATAATTTTAAATAAATATATTATTTTTAATAAAAAAAAATATGTGATAAAACATATATAAATGAATTAATAATATTAATATTTATATTTTATCTTTATTTTTAAAATTTAAATATTTTATAAATAAAATAATTGATATATTAAAAAGAGTTATTTTAAATTTATAAAAATAAATTTATAAGTTATTAGAAGAAAATATATTCAAATAATAAATAAATAGTGTAATAAAAATATATTAATATATGTGAAATAATTAATTAATTTTAAGGCTAAATAAGAAAAATCAAAATAAAAAAGCTATTATAAAATGTTGATATTACCTGTCAAATAGCTAAAAGCTTAAAACTCTTGAAAAAATTGTTTATCATACATCCTCTTAATCACAACATAAATAAATAAATTAATGTGATGTTTACTTCCATGAATTATTATAGTATAAAATATTCTTCATTAAGACAATATTAAATTACTAATTGTTGATGTCGAAAATTAGTTAGTAATGAACACCAAAATAAGTTAATTATTATATTAGCGCTTGGATTATATTTTGAAAATAAAATTCGGCATTAATAGTAATTTTTCAATTATCCTAATTTATATAACTATTTTAATTATTCATTCTCCTTCCTCGCTCCATCGTTAAAAAAAGAACTCCCAATTTTATAACATGCAATTTTTTCTTTTGATGCAGCATTTATTAAAAAAAATAAAATTCAGAATCTTTCAACATAATTCAAAAGAACTCAAATGTTTAAATATAGAACTCAACACCTTATAGAAAAATATATTATAATAAAATATCCAATATAATGGTTGACCTATTTCAACATTGAATTTATGCAAATTTCATAGATTCACATGTAATTTACAAAACCAAAGTAAATACGTTATGTCCTTATGCGACATATTGGATTGATGCCCTGGATTCAATTGATTGGTTTGGGTTATGACTTTTTAATCAAATTTAGATAATAATTTATATAATTTTGTTAATCTAATTATTTTTATAATTTTTCAACATTTAGATATTAACAAAATTATTAAAATCTCGTATGATGTGTTAAGAATATGATAAAACTATATTAGCAATCATATTTAAATTACAATATCAAAATTATTATTAAATAAAATAAATTAACATCTCTTTCAATTTTACCAATATAAAATATTATGTTGTACAACACTATATTTTATGAGCTTAAAGAACTCAACATGAGAAAATGTTTTATAATGAAACATTAAGCATATTGTTTGACATACTTCAACATTAAATATATGCAGACTTCACAAATTCACAAAATCCAATAAATTTTAAACTAAAAAAGATGATCTTATCACTTTTTCAAGCTAAAACATCCAATTTTCATCTATTATGATGAACGGTTCCGAATTTGTCAACATACCCGCCTCCTAATTATTAGCTTAACATAATTTAATTTTTATATAAAATATTTTAGGAAGCGGCTGAGGAAGGTCGATTTGCTGCTGGTTTCAGGCGGCAACAAACCTATGAATATCCTGCCCAACCAGCCCTCGAAAATACACCATTGCAACATGTTTCAGTCCTTCGAGAACCTACGGAAGGCCCCCGAGTTCGTTTCCCACAACGGGGACCTACTCATCAAGCCTTCCTGCAGCCCGCATTACACAATCCGCCGTCCGTTCAGACAGCTTCCAAATAGCTTGGGGGGTAGGCAGAGATGGGGCTGCTGCCACATCCCATCATAAATCCACAAGTAATCGAAGATGTGATTAATAGGATGTATGGCGATCGGCGAAGCAAGGAGTTGGTCGAGCAGTTCTTAGAACAATTTGGGAGCACATAAACTAGATGCCAAGTTCGTGTACCAAAGGACCAGGTGGTGAATGTGGCAATAAATAACATAATGCACCAGCTGTGTGACACGATGATTCTCCAGAAGTGTCACGACTTTCAGCAGCCGATGTCCAAATCTGTGAAGGCCGAACAACCCTTGAAAGAAGCTCAAACGGCCTGAAATCAGAAGTTCTGGAGTGGAAATTATTGCGTCTTTGCCCAAGAAGGGCTACCGAGGTCGATGAGGAGTAGAAAGAGATCTTCTTGGCTGAAATTTTGCAGGGGAAGGTATAGACATGCCCGACTCGTAAGCCGCCCCGACGGAAAGAGGTGAATCTGAAGGTATCTTAATCGTTTGACATAGCAAAAATAGAGCAGATTTTTTACTACTTGCTAAAAGACAACCAGTTCCGCCTCAAAGAAGGTCACAAAATGCTGACCGAAGAGGAGCTGAATGGAAAATCATTTTGTAAATGGCATGGAATATATGGGTATCAGATCGGGAATTGCATTTCCTTCCGAAATGCAGTCCAGAAAGCCATCAAAGAAGGCCGCCTTAAGCTGGCCGAAAAACCTGACATTAAGGTAGACACAGAGCCGTTCCCCTCGCTGATAAACATTGTTGGAGTGCATCCAGCCAGGTCCAGAAAGACAAATTTGGGGTTTGGCGCAGATGGTAAAGGAACAGGGCTTAAAAAACCAGGGCTTAAGAGACTTGGAAGATCGATCAAACCTCTGATGAGGAGTTCGGTGTGGAACAGATTTTTCCCCACGAATGCAGTCGTGGAAGTAAGCTTCAACAAGGGAGGCGAGGTGTGGCGAGTAACCTCCGTAGATCAGGTGGTGATTACACCCCATCACACCTGTCTTCCTAGAAAAGAGCTCGACGATGGAAGCTGGACAAGGAACTGGAAGGAGCAGGCAACGCGGCCTCCTACTAGGACTCAAAAGAGGAGAATACAGCGACAGCGCTTGGCCGCTCGCCTTTCCCAGGAGTACCAGGCTGGGGGGCAAGAGGTTGATGACCATGAAGGTCAGGCTGAGGGGCAGCAGCTCCAGAACTCTGAAGGAGATGTCGCCAGAAGACCGAAGCTTGGTCGGGAAGGACCTTCGTCACTAGCTTGAGGCCCGAAAGGAGTGGAGACCGAAAAGAGATTTCACAAGGGTTGAGTACCCCATTGAGTCGATGATCGATGCCCTTGATTGCAATGAAGCGTCGAAGGCTACCTTGGATATCATAGCTTCTGACCAAGACCTTGAACGACCTTCGCACTATGAGGATGACCTCAAGGTTAATACAATAGGTGTGTTATCTCGAGAATTCAAAGCTCCTCCAACCCAGCCCGACTATCTCCAGGGAGATGTTCTATTGGAAGGAGCTAGTTCGTTATGTTTGTGGACCAAAATTCCGACATCCAAAAAGAAAGACCAGAACCAGTGCCCTTCCAAAATTTAATGGATGAGGATAAGCGTCATTTGAAATCCCTATTCCTCACCGTTCATCTCGATGGGTGGACGGTCAACAAAGTTCTAGTCAATTGAGGGGCGCCCGTCAATGTCATGACCTTGTCTACCTTAAGGAAGATTGGAAAAAACAGGAACAATCTCATACCGACAACCATGCGGATGACCGACTTCACTAGAAACACACATACGGCAACAAGCGTTTTAGTGGTCAAGGTGACGGTCGGAACAAGGACGGATCATGTGGCTTTCTTCATCATCGAATGGAAACTAACGTATTCGGCCATTCTCAGGAGGGATTGGATTCACACCACCCAATGCATCCCTTCGACTCTGCACCAAAAAATTAAATTTTGGAACGGGGATCAAGTCAAGGCGGTGGAGGCCGAGACTGACCCAGCCATGGAGGTGCACTCCGTAGAGGCCGTTTATTATTTTTTTCAATGTATATCCGATGTCCATGATGCTAAAGGACGCTGGAATGTAGAAAGAATGTAACCTAACCATGAAAAGGTTCGAAATCAAAGTCGAGGCTGACGTACGGCCTAATAATTCAGGTATTTATCATGTCTGACATCCTGATCTTACAGGATTTAGAGGCAAGAGCAGACAGGTCCGGTTGTCCATTTATATAGGTTGGAACTCATGCCGCTCAGCCTCTTGACGAGCAGGCGGGGACATCTTTCCAGCCGCCGATTTGTGATCAAGATGAAGAGGATATCCACTCACCAATTCAAAGAGCTGCTCCGCCTTTCGAAGCCTAGGATCCATTGGAGGAGGTCAACCTGGGAGACGAGACAGTTCCTCAGATGATACGG